CTTATATTTTTTCTTCAGTTCTTTCAGCTTGAGAAATGTTGAGCATGTTATTCTCTTTTTGTTCTCTAACTCCAGGCCTTCGCACATTTCATTATAATAACTGACTTTGTCTTCTTGAGCTGCTATTTTTTCTTGTCATTTATTCCATTTGCTTTAGTTACTCTCCATTCAAGAGCAAGTTTCAGAGTCTCTTCTAACATCTATTTTAGTCCTTTCTTCCTTTCCTGTCCCTTTAATGACTTTTTGCTTTTTTCATGGATGATGTTTTTGATGTCATCCCACAACTAGTCTGGTTTTCAGTCATCAGTGTTCAATGCATCAAATCCATTCTTCAAATAGTAGTATTAACTGGTCTTGGCATATGGATATTATCCTATCATTGACAGCATTGTACTTCAGGATAGATCTTAAAACATTCTTTGTGATGATAAATATGATGCCATATCTCTTCGATTTGTCATTCCCAGCATAGTAGAGCATATGTCTGATTCAAAATGACCAGTGTCACTCCATTTCAGCTCACTAATGACTAGGATATTCACTTTTTATGCATTCCATTTCATTTTTGACAACTTACAACTTTCCTCAATCCATACTTCATACATTCCATGTTCTGATTATTAATGGATGTTTGAGGCTGCTTTTTCTCATTTTGAGTCATGACATATCAGCAAAAGGAGATCCCAAAAGCTTTACTCCATCCACAGCATTTAAAATCGATTGATTGTACTTTGAGGAGGCAGATCTTCCCCAGTTTATTTTGAGTAGCTTCCAACCTGAGGGAGTCATTTTCCAACAGTGTTTCATATGATGTTTCAGGGCTATTCATAAAGTTTTCCAGTAATGTAACAGATAGTGTTTCACTGCTATTCATAAGATTTTTACTGGCCAATTATTTGAGAAGTGCATAGTATCTTCCTTCTGTCTTAGTTAGAAGCTCTGCTGGAACCTACTAACCATGTATGACCCTGCTGGTATTTGAAATACCAGTGGAATATCTTCCAGCCTCACAACAGACAAACCACCACAGTATTACAAACGGAGAGATGAGTGGATATATGTATTTTAGACTAATGTAAAAGGGATTGCGGTAGTGTTGTGGTTAAAAAACTGAACTGCTAACCAAAACTTTCACCACCAGTTTCTCCACAGGAGAAAGACATGGTTATCTGCTTCTGTAATTACAGATTGCCACCATAGATTATAACCTTTGAAACTCTATAGGGCAGTTGTACTCTACCCCATAGGGCTGCTATGAGTCAGAATCAACTTGAAGTCAATGAGCTTTTTTTTTGTCAAATATAAAATGTCCAGAATTTTTTATTAGAATTTGTTATGATGCTAAAATACTGGGGAAAAAATAATGATGTGAATAAGAGCTAAGAATATTAAAATATTGGCTTTATTTTCCTTTTATTTTTTTAACTAGAAAGCTCACCTTTGAAGCTTCCCTTTATTTATTTATTTATCTATCTATTTATTTATTTAATTGTGATTGGGGTAATAGTTTACATAGTAAATTGTTCTTCTCTTCATGCGCATTTTGTTTGTGGCATTGGTTGAAATTCTCACAATATAATAGTACTCTTCCCACTTCCTCTCTATGTTTTCTATTCCCCTCATCCTTCTTTCTTATTCCTTCCTGCCGTCTGTGCTTTATTACAGAGAAAATGCTGCCCATTTGTTCTCATATTGTTGATTCTTTAAATGAATATGTACCTCACTCATTTACTGTATTGGCTTTATTTTAAAAATATATACACCAAAGCCAAAGGACTTTTTACTGCAAATATATGGTTTACAATATTTAATGCTGAGTCATATAATTATAATGGAAGCAAGATATATTCCTTTAACATAAAAAGGAAACAAACTCTAGGTGAGATGCAAAAGCGTCACAGAAATTCTGTTATTAATGTTGTTACAAAATTTACATGTTAATAACACCACAAGAATCTGGGAATATACAAAGACATCTCCATAAATAATAGGTAATGATCTTATGTGGTAAAATATGAGAATGTCTTTTAGTGTTCCCTCTGGTAGCATAGTGCTTAAGGCACTTGACTGCTAACCAGAAGGCTGGCGGTTCAAACCCACCAGCCACTCCTTGGAAGGAAGATGGGGCAATCTACTTCCATAGTGATACTGCCTCAGAAACCCAAGGAGGGGTCGCTATGAGTCGGGTCCAACTCGACAGCACACAACAACAACAACAACAACTCCTCACTACCGTTGTGTTGGATCCGACTCATAACAACCCCTCCTTGGGTTTCTGAGGCCTATCACTACGGAAGTATATTGCCCCATCTTCCTTATGATGAGTGGCTGGTCGGTTTGAACTGCCATCCTTCTGGTTAGCAGTCAAATGCCTTAAGCACTGTTGTTGTTGTTGTTAAGTGCCGTTGAGTCGTTTCTAGGCACTATGCTACATTAATTTATATCTTAATGCTCTGATATGTTTCACTATGAGAAATACAGTAAAACAAAACAAAACTCACACATCATGCTCATTGCTAATTCACATTTTTTGTTTGTGTTTTCTTTACCTGATTTCCATTCCAACTCAACAAGTTTATTCATGATTTGTATCTGCTATAATATCATATGATGCATGATTATCAGTAGCGCAGATGGCATCTTCATGTGAGTTCTAAATAAAGGCATCACGTCTCAACATGCTTTATTTTAAATTTTTGTAATATTGGTTTTATTGAAACATACACTTTATTGTTATCTATCAGAGAATTGACACAATAAATATGTAAACCTGTATTTTCTGTGGATTAATGACACCTCCTTAAATGTACACTCATGTAGTATACAATTTTCACAGCAGTATTCAGAGGCCCTGAACTGAACAAGAGTTTTCAGATTAAAGTTTTTTGAGTCTTAGTTTCCTAGTTTGTAAAATGAGGACTGCTCCTATCTTACAGAGTTTTATAAGAATATGTGAAAGTGTCATATTGCAACATTCAAGTCTATTTAATTTTCCATTTTTCATATTTGTACTTATGAAATTTCTGAATATTTACATTGTCTGAGAATGTTTTCCTAATGTTCTACCCCAGGGATCAGTTATTCTTTTTTTTTATTTTTTTATAACATGACAGATAGTATTTTGTTAGCCATACAGTTTCCCCTGGAATCCCTAAATCTCCTGCTGTATTGCAAAAGTAGCCATAGAAAAAAATGCAAATAAATGACCCTGACTATATTCCAATAAAACTATTTACCAAGAAAAGCAGATAGAGGGTTTTATTTGGTCTACAAACTATAGATACTGACCCGTAGTCCAGCTCATGTTTTCTTATTCTTTGTTTAATATCTATACATGTTAAGTTAGTCTACCTTATTTCTTACTTTTCTAAAGCCTTGAATGAGACAAAGAGGGTGGTAAAGGAGACACATTTTATTTAATTCTCTCTTAAAAACTTGGTTTATGCTAAAATCAAGGCTTAAGTTAGAAAACAAACGAACAAAAAAGCTTACCTCCTAAGTATATGAATATTTAATAATAGAAGAATCCATCAACAACAAAAATATTAGAAAAATTCTTAAGCCCTCAGTGCTCTGGAACAGAATGGAAAATCAAGGTAAGAAAGTATAGCCAGTGACTCAGAACACCATACCGAAGAGTAAAACAAAGGAAGCTTGGCTAGGATAGTATTATATGCTCTTGAAAAGGAGAAGAGCTGGTTAAGTGCCCTCTTATTTGACTGCTTGGAAGTAAGTAGCCTAACTGTGTGCCACATGGACTGGAGGCAACGAACCTAAGAAGTGTGGATGAGAAGGAAAGGAGCAATATGAGACCTAAGGTAAGCTGATGGAAAAGATTAAAATAGAGTTATCAAAGGGATGGCTCTAAGTCCTTTTATTTCCTCTGAAGTCCAAATAAACCTATTCTAGATTTTTAAATCAGTCAGTCAAATTTGATGATCTCATAATGAGTACAGCCCTAGACATTGTAAAGGGATGATGAGAGCAGGGGAAATTTTACAAAAATAAGGGATGACATGGTTTCTGCTCTCCAGGAGCTTACTAACTGTATTGGAAGACAGATCCTACACAAAAAAACAAATGCAAAATATATATTAAAAGCAACATTAATGCAAGTAAATATAAATAATTTATGAAAGCTATGGGGTACTGGAGCAATAATTATTTACAACCCCCTTAGCCAATCACAGAAGGCTTCCTGGAGAAAAATGTTTTAGACTTTGAGTAGAATGCTGGCAGAGAATAAGATGCATGCAAAGACATGGAATTCAAAATAAATATGTCATGTACAATAAGTAGATAAGTTTGGTTAGATTAGAAAGTTTAAATTATCTCGTGAGAAATGAGTGTGATCCAATAGAAGGAATCTATTTGGTGAAAGACCCTGCAATGTTAGGTCTTGTCCCTCAAACAAAATGAGCAGTGAAAGAATATTCTCTTTACTTAATGATAAGTGGTCATAGGTCCAGGACCACCTAACTTTTCTCCAAATTATTTTATTCACTCACAGCGACAGACTCAGAATCTTTGAGCAGTTCATGTAGGAAAGACTGCCTCTGGAAGAACTCTCAGAAAGTGGCAATTGGATATCAAAAGTCAAGTAAGTTAAAAATTCAGTGAATTTTCTAAGCAAAGGATCTATCACACACAGGCAGGTAGATCCCAGTCCTTTTCAAAAGATCAAGAAAGTTACCCTTGATACTATTCTTGTTGGAAAGCAGATTGTGTATGCTTATAAAATAATTTATTTTGGGACTGAAGTGACAATCAACTATGATCCTAACATTTTAGAAATTACTTTACGAGGACAAGAAGAGCTCTGGTACCTGAAGAAGGACAGGTCAGTAAGGGTGCAAATTCTCTCCTGGTCTTTAAGAGAAAAAGATGAATCATAACAACTTAGAGAGGTGATTCCCTCAGCCAAAGCAAGCAAGACCTTTTCCTTTAAGCCTTTGATCTGAAGCTGTTCCAGGAAGGAAAAAATAATTCAGTCCCATTGTTTAGCAACAGCCAGAGTTACATCCTAAATCATGAGAGTTCCGCTGAAAGTCAAAAGGTTCCACCGATGACCAGTTTGGCTGCTGGAACTCAATGTGGATGCCATTTGCTTCATTGTGGACATCAGATAACCCCTGTTGGATCTTCCTATATATATATAGTTGGCTTTGTTAATGAAGGCCTCTTCAACATTGTAGGTTATTTTGGCTGATGTCTCCATGAATATAACTCCATGCCTTTGAGCAAAAATCTCTCCTTGTTTCTTCACATCCCGACAGAACTCTAGGCCATTCTTGTTCCCAGTCAGTGTGATAACCACGATGGAGTAGGGGTGTTGCTGAGCATCCTCTGAACTAGAAGTTAGGTGGTTAAAGTTTTTATGCCTGGTAATGTCATCATACGCTAGCAGTGCTCCAGTGGCTCCCCTGTAGTAGGAACAGATGGTAGAACATAAGGACTCTGGCCCAGCCATATCTCAGATTTGCAGTTTAATTTGTTTTCCATCAAATCCACACCCGTTGTGAGATCAAGGACAGGTTGGAACCACTTGCACATAAACTGCAGGGGGAGACAAGACTTCCCCACACTTCAAATAAGAGGATACATGTCCTCTGAGTCACCCAGCAGAGGAACATAGCTGAGATTCTGGCTTCTAATTTATTTAGAAATTGTATTTCTCAAGTTTCATTTATTTCCCTTCTTTCTTATCTCTGCTCCAAAGTGCTATTTTTCCTTTCTTTCTGATGGGGAGAAAATACATTTAATTTCTTCCTTTTAGAGAGTCTTCTTCTACTACTACTTTTTTTCCAGTGTCTTCTTATTTTCATGAACAATTTTAACATACTTGTCTTATGTAAAAAGCTCCAACACTTAGGTTCTAAGGTCGTTTTTTCTATTTAATAAAATGAAATGGCTCAAGGTAATATTCCACATATATGGGATGCCTACCATCCATGTTACTTCTTCTGAGGCTTTCCAAGAACTCAGTATTCTGGTAGTCTATATCTCCTTATGAATTCTTCCTCCAGGAAAATTATTGACCCTATTAGTGGCCAGGTCTACTGTTCTACAGGGCACTATTAACTCAAGGTTGAGGCCTGAAGCAAACTTCAAAAGAACACTTTGGAAAAATGTAGGTGGTCCACTGTATATCATAGAACAAGAGTTAATTTAGCTTTCAATATGAAAAAGTATCTCTCTACTGAGATTTCTCTGCCCTGGGCAGGGATGTATACCAAACTCAGTCAATGTGAAAATAAAAGTTATTTTGCAATTTTTAGTAGTGTTCTTTTCTCAAAGTGTATTTGCTGCTTCTTACTCATTCTTCCTTCAGAAAGGCTTTCTTTTTTTTTTTTTTTTGTTTCAATCATTTTGTTGGGATGGTGAACATATGTGAAATATATGAAAGTGAAGTCAGATCAATAATCTTCAAGACATTTGAAACTATTACATGATGGACAGCATAGCATCAAGTAAAATGTATTTTAAAATATAAATAGACATAGGGAAAGATTTGAACACAAAACTTAAAGTGTACTGTGGATCAAACATATATGAACAAAAATCATAAATAATAAGTAATTAAAATTTGGTTTAAAAGAATGAAAACATGGAAAATAGTGAATATATTAATTTCAATGAAAATCAAAGCAAAATATTCTTTCATTAGAATTATTTGCCACAACATTGAAAGAGATATAAAGACTCATAAAAACATGAAACAAATCTGAAGTAATAATGAAGGTGGTGTATAAAAGATCCTTAACCAAAAACAAAACAAAAACACTCTGACTCATAGCAACTCCTCCTTAGGTTTCCGAGGTGATATCACTAAGGAGGTAGATTGCCCAAATTTCCTTCCAAGGAGTAGCTGTTAGGTTTGAACTGCCAAGCTTCTGGTTGGCAGTCAAATGCCTTAGGTGCTAGGCGAGCTCCTCATAAGAGATCCTTACATACTCCTGATACAGGTCTCTGGGTACTGCAAACATTTAAGTGCTCAATCACTAGCAGACATTCTGGTGATTGAAACCCAATCAGAGATCTCCACAGAAGACAGGCCTGGGGATCTGCTTCCAAAAGGTCATATCCTTGAAAACCCTAAGGAGTACAGTTCTACTTTGCACAAATGGGATCCCTCTGAGTCAGAATCGATTCCACAGCAAGTAACAATAACAAACAACTATACATTCCCCTGAGGCAATATATGTACCAAGATATAGGTGAACTTGATTTCTAATAATTTTCACGCCACACTACACTACCTTTCCTCCTTTTTATTCTCTACAGGTGGCAATTAATCTATACCATGTCATAATACCTTCTCAGCAAAAAAGTTCCCTTATTTCTATCACAAATTATACTCAATTGCAGCAAAAATATGTTCCCAAGCCTGTAGTACACTGGTAGAGGTACATACATTTGATTAATTCCCATGTAAATAAACAGGAAAAAGTATATATAAAATATACAAACAAGCATTGGATAAAGATTGGAAAAACTGAAAATGTCTAAAATTAATTTCTGAACATTGATATGATTATAATAATGATGGATAATTTTTACTTTATCTTGACTGTATTAATTTCCTGTAATGAGTGAATATTAATATCAAAAACCAAACAATTAAAGTCCTTTCTGATAAAAATTCTTTCAGGTCTGAGAGTCTATAAATCTCAGGTAAATATAAGCAATTTAATTAATTTCTAGTAGAAGCTCTCAATAGATTACCCTTTACAGGATCATTTGTGTCTTCTCAGGTCTTAGCTGGAAATACTTAGTTGCCATGACGCTCCCAGGACCAGTTGAGCATAGCCTTGAGCTCAGAGATTTTCAGCAAGAAACTACTAGTAACTTTTCCCAAAGATACATCGATAGTCTTTTTTGCTATCATTTACTTTATGATTAATTGTCATAGTGCAAGGGCAATGTGTAATGAAAAACAATTCCTATTTCCAGGCATTAACTAAGGTTAATGCCTGAAAATAGGAATTAACTGCAGTATTGTTAACAATTAGCACAAAGTTATCCATTTTGCTTACACCAGAAATGCTATCAGGACAACAGCTCACATATTCATTCATTGGAAAACACTTTTTAAATGCCTAGTATAGTCAGCCATTATTTAGGCAATTGAGATACACTTTTAAAAGGAAAGGGAAAGGGAAAGGAAAGACCAAAAAAAGAAAAAAAAGAAAAAAAGAAAATGAATCAGAATCACATTATTGAAGCCTCTATAATCTTAAGAAACCAAAGATCAAATATCCATTTGTGCAACATTTTCTTGCACTGTCAAACTAGTATATTTACTTAAGAACAATGAGAACAGCTTATTTAGCTTATCTCCTGTCTTTTTTATTGTGAATAACTGAATTCTTCAGCAATACAGAGATTATTAACATAAGCACAAATAAATATTTCTACTGTCATTCATTACTCTATGATTGAGTGAAACAAATCCATACCATCATTAGCTTCATTATATAAATTTCCATATTTAAATAATTTAATTACTGTTGTTGATTATAGAGAATAAAGTTTTGTTTTTCAGAAAAAGAAAAACCCTCTATGTATTTTCTTTAAATATTTTTAAGGCCATGTGCCCATAACATGTTATTCTTAATAGTCTAGCCTGGTTATTTAGGTTTGTGTATGTGTGCGTGTGTGTGTGTATAATTTTTACTAATTATAATAGTTTTGGTCAGAAGTTCTTCCCTTCTGAAAATGAATTAAAGGATTTTAGTTGATGAGTTTCGAGATTTGTTTTATATTCTGCAAAATTTTGCCCACAAACTAAATCGAGCAAAGGACTGAAACAACCATGCTTTCCATGAAACTCAAATGACACTTCTACAAAATTACAAAATGGGTTTCGATTCAGTTACATTTATGAGGAAGAATTAGTTTTCTGGCCTTTGGCTCCAGATGATGGACTCCTATAATTAGACTTTAAAGTTCTGTATGTGATTAAATCTGTAGTCCTTTTATTTCCCTTATCAAAGTACATTTTATGTAAGTTTCTGAACCTCTCTCTATTTGCCTCCAAGCTTTTATGCTTCCCTCTTTGTGCAATCTCAAAAATATTTTAATAGGACATTTATTCTGATTTCCATAAATATAAATACCTTGGGGATTTTTTTTTAATAAATTAGATAAGAGTTAGTATGATGGTTCCTACTATTTTTATAATGGCTTTTTAAGATATTTTCATAAACTTCTAAGGTTTATAAAGTAGATATAGAAGAGAAACATTTTAGAGAAAGCATGAAAGGAACTTTTTTTGGCATCAAAAAATGAAGGGAAACAGTTCTGGCAAAATTGGAAAGGGACAAAGCCAATAAAATAAAATATCTTTTTGTTATGTATAGCCCCTGGCATATTGTAGTTGCTTAGGAGATCTTAATTTAGTTGTAATTATAGTTATATGATATTATAATTATAGATAATTATATAATGATTATATAATTTATTATGATAATGAAAATGCCTCAGAGCTGGAGAGCAAGTAATCACTGGGATTAAGATCTTCCTGGAGGTGTCTCCTTTTCTAACTTTTTCTTTTTCTTTTTATGTAGTTTTAATTTTCAAGAATATGTGCTAATAAAAAAGCACAGACAAATGACATAAAAGTAAAATTACACATTCTATCTCTCAACCTTTCTATCTATCTATCCATCTGTCTATAGTTTTTTTAATTGCATTATTTGTCAGATTTTTGTGATATTGATGGTAATATTTGGAACATTTTAAACTTGTCATTTTAAAATATAATAAAACCTGTGAAAGCTGGAAACTGGGTAAGGCAGAAGTCTGTCAGAGAAGGAAAACTCAAATACTTTCCACTAATACAGAGTGACAGAAAAGTGATAAGACTGTACTCTGTCAAAGGTGGAAAGACTGTACTCTCTCAAAGGTCAAAAACAAGACAGTCCTGTCAAGTTCCAGCTCTCACAAATCTAACTGTATAAGGAAACATTGTTAGTAATTTTGAATATTTTTATTTGGTGAGAATAAAGGAAATATGGTACATAAGTTTAGAAATGTTATTTAGTTGTACTGTTGTATCTTATATGTTATTGTAAAACTGGAAGCTATCCCACCAATGTTTCAAACACCAGCAGGGTCACTCGTGATGGACAGGTTTCAGTGCAGCTTCTGGACTAAGATAGACTGAGAAGAAAGGCCTAGACATCACTTGTGAGAATTAGTTAATGAAACCTTATTTACTATAACAGAACACTGTCCAACTCATTTGTTTTGGACATGTCACCAGGAAGGATCAGTCACTGATAGATGATATCATGTTTGTTGAAGAAGGGGACTACCAAGGGCAAAGAAGACCCTTGGTGAGATGTACTGGCATATTAGCCACTTAGGTGGACTCAATATGCCAGCAATCAAGAGGATTATGCAGAACCAGTCAACCTTGTACGTAAGGTCTCCATGAGTCTGATTACATTTGATGGCAGATATCATCAACAACAACATCATAACCTGATTGAAAGGTA